CAGACCAGTTAACATTCTCATAAATCTCCTCTGGACCCTGCCCAGTGCAATCACATCCCTCCTATAATGTGGATTCCAAAACTGCACATAATACTCTAGCTACGGCCAAACCAATATTTTATGGAGTCCCAGCATAACCTCCCTGCTCTTCACCTCTATGCCTTCGCTAATAAAGGCAAGTATTCCATATGCCTTCTTGACCACTTCATCTACCTGTCCTGCCACCTTATGGGGCATGCACATCAAGGGTGCTCTGATCCTTGATGATTCACAGGGCCCTATCATTCATCATGTATTCTTTTGCCTTGTTGATCTGGCCCAAGGTCATCACCTCACATGAATCCGGGTCAAATTCCATTTGTCAATGATCAGGCGTTTGAGCAGTCCATATTTCTCTTCTGACAATCTAATTTGTGATTTACTTGTAAACTCTTGCCAACACGAAGTTCATACAAATTGTTCTACAAATATCATCTGCTGTGACTGGCAACTCATCTACATATGAAAAAAATACATTCTCCCTTCTGGATTCTACCTTTGATAAGGATGGTAATCCAAACAACAAATTCATCTTTACAGTGATAATTTGAAATTCTGTACTTAATTTTGTACTTATAAGCAGGCTAAATCAAAACTCATCTCAAAAACTAAGATGGGTACTGAGAACTTTCAATTGAAAATAATTGTCAGTAGTTTATGATCAGTTTCAATTGTGAAACTATCACATAGGACCCATCCACAGGCTCCTTATTTGGACCTGAAATAAATATTTAATCCAAATGACACACTAAACTCTGGATTCCTTGTAAATTTAGTTAATGGTCGTTTGAAAAAAATCTGGGAGCTGAAGACTGACCAAATGGCAGCTTATGAATCTCAACCATGCATGTTCAACAGTTAAATATTACTTCATTTAATCACCTAACTGAATTTGCAGACAGACATCTGCCAAATCCAACTTTAAAATATATGACTTCCTGTCAGTATTGTCAATAGATCCTCTGCATTTTTACATTTCCTTACACGAGCAACTGAATTCAGTAATCTCACCATGGGAGTAGCCAACGTTCAACAGCAGGCAACATTCAACTTTTATGATCGTATTCTCCATTTCAAGTCTTTTCAGCTCTACACCTCTACACCTTGTTATCTCTTTTCAGCTCTTGCTCTATTTTCTCACTTAGGGCATTGGCCACTGGATTAGGTTTGCAGCAAACTGGCCTGGTGTTCCACTGAACATGAATATAAAACGTTGAATTGGATTGTTAGTTTCACAAACTACCCAAAGGATGATAAGGTTGTCTTGCATTGTGAGTTTTACTTCTACGTAAAAAGCTTCTTTAAGTTTAACGGCATCTTTTTAACTAATTCATTCCAAAGCAGGTTTTTTCATTCTTTACTACAATAATCACTAAAAATCTATTTCATTTTTATCTATTTTGGACATGAATGTTGTTTGATCCCAGTCTCTGATTGTATTCATGTGATAAGGATCTGTAAAATCCATCTCTTATCAGTTAAGTATGATTACAATGTCCCACCTGTAGTGAAGATATTATTTTCATGGCCAGATACAATGGTGCCATATTTTTCTCCAGGCCTTTGTTTGTTTGATTAAATTGCAGTTTATACGTTTTTGTTTTGTCTATGGTGAATACAATCCTATTAACTTCATTAGTTGGATGTGTGTGTCATCTGCATGTCCCTTTCCAGGTATATCCTAATTTCAAAGCTAAATTTTCTGGCTTTTCCTGTCAATTGAAATGGAATTTTTAATGGTTAACTCCTTATTTCACATGAGTGTGTATCTTAATTCTTTTTAATACCTATCTGTGCAATACTTAATTTGGTTTCTTTATTTCTCAATCTATCGTAACCAGATATTGTTATAGTATACCTACTTGGGCTCTAGCCAATGTATCTTAGAAAAGTGTCACAGAGATATTAGGAACTGCCGATGCTGGAGAATCTGAGATAACAAGGTGTAGAGCTGGATGAACACAGCAGGCCAAGCAGCATCAGAGGAGCAGGAAAGCTGACATTTTGGGTCTGGACCCTTCTTCAGAAATCTGCCATTTTCTTCCATCATCTTTCTTTCTGTTTATCCCCTTCTGACATGCCTTGGTGAAATGGCCCCTCGTTTTGCAGGTGTAATACTCTGCATTCACAAATGTACAATTCTGTGCCCAATGTTGTCTTTAACACCAGTAACAGAATTTTCTAAAAACCGTCATTGAACCTTTGGACTATTCAGCTGCAGATAATTTAATTCAGCAGATGACAAGCAATTCTTAACTCTGACTTCTCTTGAGTCATGTTCCACCATATCCATGGAAAATACTGTTTGGCAAACTATGTTCAAAGCTCAGTTTGGCAGTGTAAGCACCTTAGTGTGAAGGCATACACTTCTTAACAGCGCGCAAATCTGTCCCATAATGCTCTCTTCTGAAATTCCCCAAAAATTATGACAGATAAACAGACAGCTTTCTCAAAGCAATGAAAAAATCTTTATTATCCTCAGCAGGTAACTCATTCATTGCTCCAAACTGATAGCTTTCTACAATCTCAAATGATCTGTGACTATGCTGTTTTTCCAGCTTACATAAAATGTCTGACAATGGCATTTCTTGGAAAGGGTGAGCAAATTCTTCTTCTTCATACATTCTGGATCTGCTTCACTCAGAAATATCAACAATTTCCTTTACACCACTGCCTGATTAATAGCCGGAATATTAGGAACACTAGAATATTATTTGTAGTGAGAAACATCTTGATCTGCTCCAGATATATAGCCTGTTAATCAAGATTATACTCTCAGTCTCCCAATAATACTTGTTGATGGAAGATATATACTCACAGAATCACTGAAGCCCTACAATGTGGAAGAAGACCGTTCAACTCATCAAGCCCACACCAACCCTCCAAACAGCATCCCTGCATCCCTCCCAGACTCACCTCCCCACACTATCCCTGTAACCCTGCATTTAGTGTGACTAACCCATCTACATTGCACATCCCTGGACACTATGGCAATTTTGCACAGCCAGTCCACCTAACCTGCACATTTTTGGACTGGGGGAGAAAACTGGAGCACATGGAGGAAATCCATGCACCAATGGCAAGAATGTACAAACTCCACACAGACAGTTGCCCAAGGCTGGAATCAAACCCAAGTCCCTGGTACTCTGAGGCAGCAGTGCTAACCACTGAAACATTATGCCGCCCACATATACAAACAAGCTTTCACAAAGACTGGAGTTTTAAAACTATTTTCCAGCAAAACAAAGAGAATTTACATGATGTAGGAGCAAATTACTGCAGATGTTGGAATCTATACTGAAAACAACAAATGCTAGAGATCACAGCGGGTCAGGTAACATCCACGGAGAGAGAGCAAGCTAATGTTTGAAGTCTAGAATTTACAATTCCCCTGCAGGTATGTAGGAAGCTTCTCCAACCTAAATTTGTTTGGGTAGGGTCATCCACACTGCCATCTCAATTCAGGACAGATAAATGACATAGAAGAGTGCAATGACTTCAAATCCCAACTGAAACTGGGGAGTGCTATTACACTCCTCCCTCAATGAATGCATTACACAATGTTCAAAATTACTTACAACTCAGATACGTTTCTTGTGTTTCATTTGTTTACAAAACCAATCTAACTTCTAGTTTCCTACACCTAAGAGGATAACTCTTTCTTTGACCCCAAATTTCAGATCTTGAAGAAAAACCTTGACTAATCTTGGCCTCAGTGTAAGTTTTCTTGATTTTAACAAAGATTGATTTTACCCTGTAAAGTGTCCAATTTATTGGACAGAGGTCAATACAGATCTCCCTTTAGAGGAGATCTCCCCACATGAACAGTGCCCTGTCTGCAAAAACAGCTTTTAATCAAGACTTTGTAAAAGGTCAGAGAGAGAGAGAGAGGCATGTCCTTTCTGGGATTCCCATTCTCTTAGTTATGTGCTAGATATCCTACTTTTCCTTTGAAAATGGAAAGGCTTAGATTAGTCCTCTAATTTTGGAGACCTGCCTTGTGTTCTTGGCTAGACTGTGACACTGCCCTTTGCCCATAAATTAGTGCTCAATGGGAAACAAGACAGACTGTCATTTCCCATATGGTGCAAGCTTCTGACTCCCATTTGAGTCCAACTGTGGAGGTCAGAAGTCTACGGAGAATATTCAGCCCACATAAATAAATACTGAATAAAAAGATACTTGATCAATAATCACTCAAGCTGAGAATGGGCTGAATCCACTGCCAGTAGTGGGACCCCTGATCAATTGCTGAGAACTGGTGAGCCCTCTGCATTGCCAAAACGTGACAACTGACAGGTGACAAGCCGGGAATTGGCCTTTCTCCAGGGTCATAACATCAGGGCAGAGGTCCCAACTACCTCAGATTGGATGGAAGGTCTTTTGACTGCTAGCTTGAATCATGGAGATGTTGTCTGCTGAAACACCTACGCTTCAGGGTCCAGGGCATAGGCCGCAGGTGAGTGATTTTGTGTGGCTGTTTGCAGACAGAAAGCATGTACAAGGAATCAGTGGTATGTGTGTGACTCTCAGCTGGCCCCTGTTCTCATGTCTGATCCTTTGATCAGGCAATAAATACCTTTGAATGTGGGCATCGTCAATCAAACATGTAGTGTTTTTCTTGTTGTGCGTGGTGCATGGCAAGGCCTCTTCCATCACAGTCTTAAAACCAGCAGTGATGGATTGAGTGTGCATTAATTGCCAATTGAAAGTCATCAATTGGTTGTGGAGCAGGAATGACATTCCTTGGGCCCACCATGGGCTTAATTGAGGCATGAAGGCAGCAGGTTCCCAATCAACCATCCTCCCATGTGATTAAATACCTCAACTCAGCACCAAACTCACAAGATAAGGCACAAGTTTCCAACCTTTTTTCCCTTTGCAGAATGAGCATTGGTTTACTTTGACAGTCCTATTAAGAGAGTGTTTGTTCTTTAAAATAAAAGATAATGGGTACTCACATCACGTCCATGAATAATTGTATGTCTACTCCTCCCTTCATAATCCACCACTTCGATGTAATCGAGATAAACATCTGCCCAGTAGACCAATTTGTTTACTAAATCGAGTGTGATGGCGTATGGCTGTTCTATTTTACTGTCCACAATCCTGGATCTGCCTTGTCCATCCATGTCACATCTTTCAATTTTGGCAACATCCCCATAATCAGTGAAGAATAGCTTCCTGTCAACAAAAAAAAACCATGAATGAATTATTAACAGTTCCAGAACATTATATTCTCAAAATCACTCCTGTAAGTTTCATTTTTACTGTGAAATTGGTTTCCACGAAGGGTTGAGTTTACATATTGTAACATTCAAAACGAGTTCAGCATCATGTTTATCTGACTAGACGGCTTCTACGTACTGTTAAATAAGACAATGACTGTAAAACAATGTGCTCACAAGACAAGTTTAACTTCTCCAAAGTTTAATATTGAAAGCACAATAATTTATGTTCAATCTTAATACTTATAACAAACTAATAATGTAGCTGGAGAACTATTTGAATAAAAATTTGGCTATGAACAGATTAGGCCAGAATCCTATTTTTCTTACTTGCTTCAGGCACCTAATGAGGTCAGTAACAAGGACGACAGCAAGGAAAATCAGCTCTACGCAAAATGCAAAATATAGTTACAGCTTAAAATGTAAAAATAAGTTTTATTTATATTCATTAAAAAAAATAAAAACATGACTAGACTGCTTATATTTAATGTAATTAATTGTTCTTCACATTTAATATTTCTAATGGTTTCATTTCAAAATTATTCTACACGTCGATTCGAATAAAAAGAGAACTTGATGTTACTATTCAAATACTTTCAAGGAGCAAAGTTTGCATGATTATTTCCGAAGATATAGTGGTTATTTATCATTGGATTAGATAGGTAGGACAAAGTTAAGGTCAAAGAGGTCACTCGGGTTTGCTGCAACAAAATGGTTATTTAGGTTTTAGAAAGTTAATTGAAGTGAATATGATGCCCCAGTCAAGAAATTGGGTCATATTGAATGTTTCCATGTGTGAGAATTGGCCAGGGAATATTCAAAACAATATAATAAATTATGCCTTCTTTCCCAGTTTGCAGCAAAGAATCTGATTTACAGACTCAATCTTTTCTCTCCTGTTATGTCTCAGTATTCTTGGTGCCCATTAATTTCAATCAGAAAATATTTTCACAAATGCAGTCTTACTGAGATGCAAGTGATCATTACAGACTCGGTCCAAATTGTGCTTTCAGTTTACTTTCACTGCTCTATGTAAAGAAAAGATACAATTTTTTCAAACTTGTTTATGATTAATTATTGATTTTTAATATTGTATTAGGAAATGCAGCATATAAGGGACAAGAAAGCATTGTCATCAAGAATCCATATAGTTACAGTGCATTTGTATTACTATGATTTCTACGGAGTAACTGTATATGTCTTTATCACTGTTTCAGTCTCCACTGGAGACATTGCAGCAATAAAAGTAAATTTGCATTATGTACATGTAAAAATATAACTCACAGCAATTTAATTACAAATGCCATAAATCTCCTGACCATGAAGCCTTTTGCACCTCAAAAATGACGCACAACAAGATAAAGGGCAACGTTTGATTAGCATCATTAGTGTTGTAGGTAACAGTATTACAAAGTGCTGTAGCATAAATATGAGTTTTGTTCTGTAGCAGGATGTACAAGCCTAATTAATCATCTAATTTACATTAATCCACTCATTTGAATGTGTACATACACACTGGAATTAATGCAGTACATTGAAGAAAAAAAGGCTATTCGGGACACAAGCTGAGAGTTGCCATTTTCATCCAGGTCTGATAATAAGCCAAAATGAAGATCCAAGAAAACTGCTCCAAGGTTTTTGGAAATATTAACTCAAAACATTTTGGTTAGTTTTCCACATTAAATTATTTGCAGCAAGTCTTGGTACATTTCTGTGAGTATGACAGTTACATTTTGAAGAAAAGAATGCAATACAGCATTGAAGAAACAAGCATTGTACGTGTCCTCCGACACTTCCGCCATCTGCAATCTGACCCCACCACCAAAGACATTTTTCCCTCCCCACCCTTATCTACTTTCCGGAGGGACCACTCTCTCCGTGACTCCCTTGTCTGCTCCACACTTCCCTCCAGCCCCACTACACCCGGCACTTTTCCCTGCAACCGCAGGAAGTGCTACACTTGCCCCTGCACCTTCCCCCTCACCCCCATCACAGGCCCTAAGAAGACTTTCCACATCAAGCAGATGTTCACCTGCACATCTGCTAATGTGGTATACTGCATCCGCTGTAACCGGTGTGGCCTCCTCTACATCGGGGAAAGCAAGCGGAGGCTGGGGGACCGCTTTGCAAAACACCTACGCTCGGTTTGCACTAAACAACTGCACTTCCCAGTCACGAACCATTTCAACTCCCCCTCCCATTCCTCAGATGACATGTCCATCCTGGGCCTCCTGCAGTGCCACAACGATGCCACCCGAAGGTTGCAGGAACAGCAACTCATATTTGGTTTGGGAACCCTGCAGCCCAATGATATCAATGTGGACTTCACAAGCTTCAAAATCTCCCCTCCCCCTACTGCATCCCAAAACCAGCCCAGCTCGTCCTCGCCTCCCTAACCTGTTCTTCCTCCCACCTATCCCCTCCTCCCACCTCAAGCCGCACCCCCATCTCCTACCTACTAACCTCATCCCGCCCCCTTGACCTGTCCATCCTCCCTGGACTAACCTATCTCCTCCCTAACTCCCTACCTACACTCACCTTTACTGGCTCCATCCCCGCCTCTTTGACCTGTCTGTCTCCTCTCCACCTATCTTCTCCTCTATCCATCTTCTATCCACCTCCCCCTCTCTCCCTATTTATTTCAGAACCCCCTTCCCCACCCCCATTTCTGAAGAAGGGTCTCGGCCCGAAACATCAGCCTTCCTGCTCCTCTGATGCTGCTTGGCCTGCTGTGTTCATCCAGCTCTATACCTTGCTATCTCAGATTCTCCAGCATCTGCAGTTCCTACTATCTCTGAAACAATTGTAATTACTCTTTCCTTTAGCAACATATGGATACTGATCTTTATTCGTTTTGAGGATTTGGAGTCATTGGAAAGGTTGCCAATTATTGCCTATGCCTAGATACTCAGAAGATGGTAGTCAGGCACCATCTTGAACCAAAACAGACTGTGTGTTGAATGTGCTCCCAGGTGCTTTTGCATATAGGGTGCCAGGATTTTGTTTCAGCAAGGACCCCACTATGAAATCTTTGAGTAAGTTGCACAGTCACTGCTAAAATAAGAAACTAACTCTATAGTTTGCATGCTGTATGGCGTTGGACCCATAATTGTAACGCAATAAAAAAGGCTTGAACAATGCTAAACATTCTAGCAACTCCAAAGGAATTATGTACATTTATGCAGAAAGTAAACACAGCATTGAAGCAATTAACATCCTAACAAAGAAAACTTTCAGCACTTGACTGTCCAACAAATGTCCATTTGTCTTTTATTTTCATAACAAAATGAGAAATTATCCTCTTACAAATGCAAACAGCATCTACACATCAGGGGCTATTTTGAACTTACACACAGAGCATAAAACCCATATTTTAGGTCAGGCAGTTACTATAGAAACCAATCTATTTATCTTACTATTAATTTTATTTTAGAGTGATAGAGCACATGTGAAGCAGAATTTTAGATGAGCTGAGTTTCTGATTTGAGTTTCCATTCTCCATTCTAATTTTGCAGTGCAGCAATATTCAATCTCACTGCGTGGCTAAGTTCATGATTAGTCCACCAATGTGCCTTACTCTCAGGGCTCATGAGAACTCATAATTCATTCTGGCCTACACTGTTCATAAAATATGGATCATTTCATACATTTGTGAAAATAAATAAATTCCTAGTGATTATCCTCTTCTTGTATTGGGAGTACAATATTATGGTAACTTTACAAAATATGAAAAATATTGCACTTCACACAGTTACATTGCTGTCAATTGAGTTTTATGATTATGTGTGACATAAAAAATTAAAATGGACGAGAAGATCTATTGACTTAGACACATTTTATGATGATTTTGGAGTAGCAATTTGAGGGGAAAACCAGTGAAGTAGTCAAGTTTCTTTACTTTAGAAGACATGAATATCACAAAATCGGGGTAATTACAGCCTCAATGATCTTTGAAGTGAGAAGTTCTCCTGAGATCCAAGCACCAGCACTGAGGATAATCTTGCTTGAGTCTGTGAGACCTGCAAGGGAATCTGGGAACACCGGCAACATAGTAATGGATGGCACACTTACAGCATGTGTCTGAATAAGGGATCCTGAAGATTCAGCTATTAGTACTTGTGGAAATCCCAGAGACAGTTTACCTATCTATTTTCTAATCAACCTGTCCAGAGATGTTATTACACATCCCTGGAGCAGGTGGGACTTGAACTCAGGTCTCTCAGTCTAGGGATAGAGTCACTACCATTGCACCACAAGAGCACTACAGCTTGTCTATTCTTTCAGTTTTAATCTGAGTCAAGTGCTGGTAGTATTTGTGGGCAGAGGGATACTGCCACTATTCCTCCTTCTTTGACTGATTCAATTTTGTTTCGTTTGATAGAGAACAGCCACTGGCATGTGTTATCAAGACTCTCTTGTCTCAAAAAGATGCAGTTTATTGCAAGAAAGAAACAAGATATGGGTCACATTAATCAGTCAGACTTTATTACTAAGACTTTTGTGAGACATGGCTATTGTTTGAGATCTAGAGTTATTCCCCCGTTTTTCTTTTCTGCACCCACTCATTTATTATTCCACTCAAGACAGTATAACATCATCAGACTGGATAGCGCTTAATGCATTTTCCAACATTAAACCTTCCAGAACTATCACCCTGTACATCTCCTGGCTAGAAGAGGCCTGCAGGTAGCTTCAAGATGGCAAATAGACCCAAAAAGCTGAGATCGCAGTACTAATGAAAAAGTTCCTGCATTGTTTTTGCACCATGTCATTCCACATCAAGTGCAAAACCTTACTGGCACTTTTCTTCAGCTGCTTCTATGTGACCCCTTTAAGGATCACTGTGGATTCAGAAATAACAGACTAATCTTTTAAGAGATAGTAGGAACTGCTGATGCTGG